GTCTTTCTCTATTTCTTACCTCTCATTTCTTTCCCTCTCCCCAAATCCAACCCTCTCTCTCACACTCACTCCTCTCACTTAATCTCTCTTCTCTCCCTCTCTCTCTCTTTTGTATCTTTCACTCTCACTCACTATCTCTTCTCTATCTCTCACTCTCTCATCTCTCTCTCACTATCTCCTCTAACTCTCTCACTCACTCATTTCTCTCATTCTCACTCACTCTTAATCTTGCCAAAAGGTATGTTTGACATACCCCGACCCGTAATGTCCACTAGGACTCTGAATCGAGCTGTGCTGGCTGACACTTGGAAGGTGACGAAGCCATAAAGTATGATGATGTGGAAAAATGTGAATAAATTCAAACCTAAGAGTGCCTAAAAAAAGCCAGAGTGCACTAGTGAGCGGGAATGAACCCATTTCACACGTGACGTTAGAGCATAAGTAAGTACAGTAGAGTGGATTAAGAATCATACCCTCGAAAGAAATCTCCAATACCAAAACTTGCCACAAATCCTCGTCGATACGAAAGCTCTGCTACTAGACCTGAAAGGATAAAAACTAGAGTGAGTGGCCAGAAAATAAAGCTTTAATAAAGACCTTCTAAACGATATAATCCCTCACCGTAACACCTATTTAGCTCCCAGAAAATCATACTACGGATAAACATGAAATCAAGAATATACTAACATTAAATCCAGAAGTATACCACACACAGCATCTTATTAGCAATATAAATAATCAAGTGCTTAATAACCCATACTAGCACGCCAGTCGGAGTAACCTATGGTGACCTGTATGACTACAACCATATCTCATCAATCAATGCTAGCTCATAAGTTGGAGCCACCTATAGTGACATGTACGACTTATCCATATCTCATCACATATGCTAACTCATAAGTCGCAGTCACCTATAATGACTTGTACGACTTATTTATATCTCATTACATAGGCTAGCTCATAAGTCGGAGTCACCTCTTGTGACATGTACGACTGAATTTATAGCTTAATAAGTATACCTGCACATGAGTTGGAACCACCTAAAGTGGTTTGTACTACAGGATTGTGTGTAAATAAATACGCTCAAGTGCTACAATCACGTGAAGACTGTGCGAATAATCGCGGGTCACCTATGAGTCGGAACCACCTAAAGTCGTATGTACACCTACCTTGGATCCAAGGTGAGCGTAAGGTGCGGGAGATGAACATCACGTGAATGATTGTGCCCTGGCCACGGGTGGGAGCACTAACACTGGGGTGCAAGTTTATGAGCTCTCAATGCATCTCAATATAACATGTACGACTCATGGGCAATCCATATGACAGTGTCGGAGTTGCCTATCATTGCAACATGTACGACAAGGTCGGGGTTGCCTAAAACATGCATGTAGTCATGCCATAACTCCATCATTTCAACTAATACCATAAACTCACCTGAACTTACTTGGGTGTCCTGCGTTCACCTTTGCACTTCAAGCGTTCACAATAATTATGTGCAGGTAATATACATATAGATAAACCCTGATGCAATCTGATACTCAAACATGTTATAGCATTTTCAATTGTATACATAAACATATATATATATATATATATACACACACACACACAAAATATGGCGTAAAAAAAATGCATAAGCTGTAACACCCTACTCCCGAACTATTTATTTTCGGGAATAATTATCGGTGATAAGCCCAACTAGACACTAGTTTAATTAATTATTATTACTTACGTTTCCTTACTTCAAATTTTTTATTCTTCACACATTGATTAGGTTAAATCTCACATTTTCCACCAATGTCCCTCACATTGCTCAATTCCTTAAACAAGGCTATTGTCTCAATTATTTAGTCTCATTTATTGTATGGCTGCATCTAATGCCTTGTTAGACTGCCTACGTACCCTAAACAGGGATCAAGCCATTCGTAGTTCACATTAGTACTTCAAAGCATTCACAGTAATTATATGCAATAATCAATTTATAACCGTTTATGGAATTATCAATCATATATATATACGATAGAAAGGAAAGGACCCACTCACCTAAGGTCTGCGCCATGACTCCCTAACACAAAGATTGAGACGTCACGAACCATCGTCGCCTAGAACAATTATCAAATCACATCTCAGAGTTCTTACCGATAGAATACATAATTGACATAAAACACATCCCTACGTAAATCAATTCGGAAGATCTGCATCACGGATTTCCGATCCATTGCTTCCAAAGATCCACATTATACTTTTAGAACAACATTCTAAAGTTTCATTATGATCCAACGGTCGGATCTTCGCCAATTGCCAAAACCAAGTGGCGGTCAACATTTTATTTTATGAACTTACAAATCCAATTCGGGAAGATCCGTATATCGGATTCCCAATCCGTAAGTTCCTATGGTCCTAAAATATTACATACTATAACATACTAAAAGTTTGGTGACGATCCAACGGTCGGATCGTCGATTCATATCTTTACCAAGTAACGTATCCTAATAAGTTTATGTCCAAACGATCAACCTACGATATACAATTGCCAAAAATGAACTCAAGAAATCTAATTTAGCCTAAGGATAACATCGACGGTCCCTTGGCCACGTGCCGCCGCGGGTGGCGGTCGGCCGCCCCGACTAGTCGGAAAATCCAACTATTTCAAAAAATTACCAAAATTTACAGAAATGAAGATCTCATTGAGTGGAACAACTTTTATACCTGTGACTAAGGCCAATTAGGCCGTGAAGAGCTCCAATTTCACTCAAATCCACCGGAAACCCTAGAATGGGTGTTATTCGATTCTCCTTTCTTAGCGTTCCAACGTCCCTACAACTAGTTGGGTCTTGTTCCTAGGTCCAAGGGGAGTTGATTAAGGGTGGTAATGGGTGGTGAAACTTGCCGGAAAGGAGGAATCGTCGTCGAGCACCTCTGGTGCTTCGGTGAAGTTCCTCACGGGTTAGGACCTAAAAACCCTTAAATATAGATGGAGATGGTAGAGGGAAGGGTGTGGAAGAGGTTGCAGGTGATGAAGGGGTGAAACCTGCTTGAAAAATGGCGGAGGACTGCAGGAAAACCACCCCAGGTTGAAGCCAGGTTTTCTGCATATGTATGGCTACGGGAAGGGGAAGGGAAGGCTGAGAGCTTCCCTCTCTCCTCTCTTAATTGGTGGAAAGGTTATTATTATTATTTTTTTTCTCATTTAATTGGTCCCTATTTTCTATCCTTGAAGCTAATTGGCTTCTTTCCCACAAGGTGGGAGTTCAATAATTTAGTAATTTGAAATGTAGGTAACCAATTTCAAACGTCCGTAACTATACCGTTATAATCCGGACTCGCAAACGGCTTTCGCCTATGCGTTCGTACCATTGAGTACTACGTAAATACGCTAAAAGATTAAGTCATACGTTCTTCTAGACGATGGTCAACATAAATCAAAATCCTTGCCTCTAGACATTTTTGTCAATTCCCTTGACTAAAAATAAATAAATAAACGAAATTTTAGGGACGGGTTGTCACAATTTTCTCCCCAAATTTAATGTTTTTTTTCTTCATTAATATGTGTTTTTGGAGTTAATTAATTGGGTTTGGTGTGGGGTGGAGTTTGGGGTATGCCAAGTTTAGGGGAGATTATGCCGATTTTTTGGTATTATTTTATGTTATTTTTTTGGTTATTTGACCATGTTTGTTTTGTTTGTAGGGAATCGTCAAGACTTTGACGGTGAAAATTGAGGATTAGGATGCTATCAGACCATATCCCCCGCCACTACCACCACATTAGACTTGTATCAGGATTTTATTATTGTACTTTGTTAATTTATTTGTACATTTTTAATATAATATATATTATGGATAATTTGATCTCTATTTTATATGTAATTTTATTTTGAATATGTCAATTTAAATTAAAGTAATTTTAAAAAATAAAGATACAATTAAATTAAATTAAAAAGGTAAAAATTCGAAAACTCTTGCGCTACCAAATATTTTGTCGTGCAAACAATTACTATAATTAAATTAAAATAAGAAAAATAATAAAACAAAAATAAAATACCTTGCGCAACAAAATATTTCGTCTCGCAAAGATTAATATCGTCGTGCAAAATATTAAATTAATTTAACTAAATAAAAAATAAAAAACTAAAAACTTTGCGTGACTAATATTTATTTTTATCGCGCAAACCCTATCGTAACGACTAATATTTACAAAAAATTTCCAAATGGCCAATAGGCTAGCCCGACCCAGCCAGCCCCGGGCCGGGCCACAAATTTGAATGCAACGGCTAGCTGATGTCAGCTAGTCGTTATATTTGAATATTTTAGCTAGCTGTTATATTTGAATTTTTTATTTTTACAAAATTAAAAAAAAATTAAAAATTCTATCTTTTCCCCTTTAACTTCCTAAGCCATTAAACAACATTAAATAACATTAAGTTGTTGTAGTTTTTAAATTTAATTTGTAGTTTTTAAATTTAATTTGTAGTTTTTAAATTTAAGTTGTAGTTTTTAAATTAAGTTGTAGTTTTTAAATTTAAGTTGTTATAGTTTTTAAATTTAAATAATAAATTATGTTTGACCTTATGATCCTTTGGCCCTCGGTTGAAGATGGTTTTTTGTCACAGGGCTATGTTTGGCCCTATGGCCTTTTGGCCATCGGTTGGAGATGGTAAGAAATATGGTCATGCACTGCTCATTAAAATATTAATTTCTTAGAGGATCAGAAAGCTAAAACGATTTGGCCCTCCTTCGGTTGGAGATGGTCTTAAGCATACCTCATGATTGAATAACGTACAGTAACTTTTTATCAATTGTACACTTAAAAAAAGTTTACAATATACTTCATATTTTGCGGGATTTTTTTTAAATTTTTTCTTATTTTATTTTTAAGCCATGGGCAAGTATCTTGTCCCACCAGGCCTTGTACTAGTACACAAACCACACATGTAAATCCTCTTAATAATTTGTGGGTATTGTGCTGCGCATGTGTAGCATATATGTCATACTCATATGAGAGAGAGAGAGAGAGAGAGAGAGAGAGAGAGAGAGAGAGGTGGCTTGTGCTGTTGTGCAAAGTATTTTTAAGTTTCTACATACTGCAGCTGCCTCCATTACACAACCCTTAAGAAGACGGTAAGGAATATTTACCAGCATTTTACGTTGACTGGGTTGACCAAATAAAATCAAACACCGTGTGAAGCACGATAAACTAACTTTTTTCATACCAACAGGTTGAACGGAAAAGTGCATATATGCACCATAGGTCCATATATAGCTAACTCCATTAAGAGGAAAGAAGAAAGAAGAACATCAAGCTTAACTAGTTAGTCTTCGAAAGAATAATATGGAAGGAGATCAAAGAGGGGTTCCGAATTACGAGGTTCAGATTTCGTTTTCGAGCACCCCACAACAAGCGATCCACGAAATGGGGTTTGTGCAGTTCGAAGATCAGCATCATCATAATCAGGTTTTGAGCTTCTTGGCACCCTCATCATCACCTGTACAAGTACAACAACAGCTGAACCCTAATAATTCTCACCATCATCATCAGCCTGCTGCTCTCAGCACCTCCTCCTCCGCCACCGCCACTGCCACCAGCAACGCCGCCACCATGGGGTTTAGTACAAGACCTTCTTGGAATAATAATAACGAGCAGGTGGTTTGATCTTGAAATTAAAGAAACAAGAAATTGGGATCATAAATTTGATGTCAAGTGTTTTTCTTTTCGACCAAATCAGTTGATTATTCTAACAAAAAGCTAATCAGTTATTGATGGTACCTTTATTTTTGTACTCTTACAATTTTGTGTTTTTATGGGACAATATATAGGTGGGAACGTTGGATCCAAAGGGTGTTAGTGATGAAAATGGGACTGGTAATGCTAGTGATTGCAGCAACTCATGGTATACACACTGATTTTTAGTTTTTGGGTTTGAATTTGTCCTTCAATCTCTCAGCTAGCTAGATCTCTCTCTCTCTTTCTCTCCCTCTCTCTCTCTCTCTCTCTCTCTCTCTCTCTCTCTCTCTCTCTCTCTCTCTCTCTCTAAAGTACACATGCATATATGTACATGCATAAATGCGTGCGCACATCTAAGAATGCATTCTGAAAAGATCTTCTACCAGAATCTTGGCAAGATTTAGCCACTTATGCAAGAGAATGCTTCTGTTTCCAAATAGTGCTTTCTTTTTGTACTACACCATGTTGTTAATATTCTTTCTTCTCTCTCTCTCTCTGCGTGTGTGCCTGCGCCAGTCTTTCTTTGTGGGTATATGACAGTATCGATCAAGTACTTGACACATAGATATCAATTATATTCATCCATGACAATACACACACACACACACACACACATCTGTTTATATAAGTATAAATATATATATATATATGTCATTTTTTTATACCACACATTATTGAAATTGTTCTGTGTATTATTTGTATGAGAGTGCATTAAAGAGATCAGCTACTAATCAGAGGATTCCCAAGATCAATTAACATTAAGAAAGTAGAAGGTTGAAATTAAGTATTTGGCAGGTGGAGGAGTTCAAGCTCAGAGAAAAGCAAGATGAAGGTGAGGAGAAAGCTTAGAGAGCCAAGATTTTGTTTCCAAACCAGAAGTGACGTGGATGTGCTTGATGATGGTTACAAATGGAGGAAATATGGTCAAAAAGTTGTCAAGAACAGCCTTCATCCAAGGTACCTTTTTGCATATGAATTTCGTCTTATATGATAATACATAACACACATAAGAATGTGTTTTCAAATTAATAAAATTTAGATTGTATGGGTAAATTGAATTATTATATGGTTTCCACCAATATGTTTCTGCATTACATAAACTAATCACACATGTTGTATATATAGAGGAATTATCAAAAATATATATGTCACAACTTGATTACCTAATACCATGCATGTTGAGCCTTCATCCCACAACATCATTTCCTAATTTCATCCATACAATTAGTTACTTGATTACAATCACTAATCTTTTTATTGTTTTTATCGAATTCAACGTGCTCGTTTATTATAATGAGAGGCCTACTTCATTTAAATTTAGTTAATTTTTTGTATAGATGATCATTGGCTAAGAGCTAAACAATAGACGAGATAGATCATGATACTACATTGAGGGGTAAGCTTAAAAGGATGGATATTGTGCCGTACAAGTTACATACGGTGTGTTGAAAAACTTGGAGGGGGGAATAAGGATATGTAATATACATATACACTCTTTCAGACATTAGTGTGTTTCGTTCAAATTGTTGAGAGTTGTCCCACATCGGTGAGGGATAAGGTTTGCTATGTGCTTATATGGTCTTGAGCTACTCCCCATATTGCCAATTGGATTTATGGTGGAACCTCAATTTCATCATAGTATCAGAGCGGATTGTCCTTGTGTGAAGCCAAATGGCCACACGTGCTTCATGTCACCCAGTTGTTGTCCACGTGTAGGCTTGAAAATCCACCACACATGCGGGGGGGCGTGTTGAGAGTTGTCCCACATCGGTGAGGGACAAGGTTTGCTATGTGCTTATATGGTCTTGGGCTACTCTCCATATTGCCAATTGGTTTTATGGTGGAACCTCAATTTCATCAAATAGGGCAAGCTTAGGGCAAGAAAAATATTTGGAGTTATTGGCACCGGTATGCTGCAAGCAGCTAGAACGTATGTATACTCCTATAGCCAATCTGGTCGTCCCTCGTTTGTAGACAAGGTGCCTCATGGGCAGGTTAATTATCTGCCACAAAGAATAAGAACAATAGCTACGTACTTAAGTACGTAGTTAAGTGCACTCTAGGGTACCTCTCATCCACTCTAATTATGATTGACGAATGATTATTGTACAAATGTTATAAGCGGAACTATTCGTCTTCTAAATCACAATTCATAAACCATTAATTTGTTCAAAAAGAAAATCAATCAAATTGAAAATTGTTCGGTAGTCAACATGGTGTGATATCCACACACCCCATTTTACTTCTCACACACCTTTTTAATTTTCGGCCCTCGGATTGATGAATTGAAGAATATTAAATGACATAATTTATCAAGAGATGTGTGAGAAGTAAAATAGGGTGTGTGGATAGCACACCCATAAAATAAATTGCCAGTTTTGGTAAAAATAAAGATCTTTATGACGAACCAATCATTTACTTAAAATATATGAATGACTAAAGGCACTCCAATTTAAGTATTTTTTTTAGCGATGATGATATTTAAATGTTAATTATAAAAATAAATAATTCTGATTATGATATAATGTTTATGGTAAAATTATATTATTCAAGCTGGGTGGACAAGGAAGTGCACGCTAAGTATAGCTCATATAGTGGGATATGTAGTTAGATGAGTAAACAAAAGAGAAATCTAAAAGGCTTTGCTGATATTTAGTTAAGTAGCACTAGGATGCACCTTGTCCACCTAGTTGTAGTTAATGAATTTGTAGTGTATACATAATCAAATCTTTTCACCATGTAAGATAATCTCTACAAATTAAATTAATTGAGTTTGAGTTTGATTAGTCATTCATATGTGTCTAATAAATAGAATGTTCATTCTGATGATCTAGAGTGTTACTAAAACTATCGATTTGTTTGATACATATATAGAAGATAAAATTAACAATGTCTTATTTGCTTTATTTTTTCATAATATTTAAAAAAATGTTGTTTAAGAAAATGAATAAGGTTAGACAAACATGTAAGCTTGGTGTTAATTTGAAATCGAAAACTAGGCAAGCCAAGAAAATTCAAATGGAACCTAGAAAGGAGCACATACCTTCTCAATCAAAAAGTCGTGTAGATGTGCAATGGGATAGAATATATAAATTATCATGCTACTTATAAAGATTAAACAAATATACATAATATATAGCATTTAAAATATATCTGCTTATATTTGGAATTGCGTAGCTCGATATAAGCCATGGATGTGGATGAGATAATTACATCCTAATAATCTACAAGTTAGAGTAAGTGTTTTTTTTTCTTTCTTGATACAACGTATATTTACACTGAAGATGTTGGAGAATAATTAGTAGCAAACTCGTTATTAATAAGATTGGAACCTAAGCTATCATTGAGCGTAATATCAGTTTTAGATCAAATTTTAATCGTAAGATACTTCTAGAGTACATGCAATTAATTAGTACTAATCTCCTTAATGAAAATTTTTTGGGAGATTAAAACTTAAACAATAAGCCATTTAGTACTACGGTCTAATAATATTCATCTTCACTTGTAAATAAGAGGTTTTAAGTTCGATTAAAAAAAACTTAAACAATAAAGCCCTTAGGGCAACCAATATAAAGAAAGTTAAAGTGTAAGAACCTAATATAAAGAAAGTTAAAGTGTAAGACGTTCTTTACACTAGGAGGAACAAAATTAAACCAAATATAAACAGAGTTTAGAACGAACTAGATGAGATAAGAAATCAGTAATAAAACTAGCCTCCATCCAATGTGGAAAAATTAATCTTTTATAAGAGCTTGACTTAAGCATCTAACGTAAGTTTTTTTTACGCCTGAAATATTCATGAAATTGTATGCAGCTTCTGAAATATTCAGCACTATCTAGTATTATAATTTTTTATTCTTGTACTGATACTGAATGGAACATATGCATGTAGAAGCTACTACAGGTGTACTCACAATAACTGTCGGGTGAAGAAGAGGGTTGAACGTCTGTCAGAAGACTGTAGAATGGTGATAACAACCTACGAAGGTAGACACAACCACTCCCCTTGTGATGACTCTACCTCCTCTGAACATGAATGCTTTAGCTCTTTCTAGCCAATTTATATATAAAAAATTCTATGGTACTGAGGAGTTTTTATATATATGTACGTAGCTCATCACGAACTACAGAACAAACTTAGTATACACGTACTATTGTTTGTAATGATTTAGTTGCATGTTAGTGTATGATTAGTTAGTTCTGTCAAGTATTTTATGAGATTGTCAAGTATTTTATGAGATTGATCATTTTGAAGGTCAGCTAAATTATTTAATATCTATATGAAGTAGTTTTACTATACTTTATCCAAACTTATATTAAGATGACTTTTATGAAATTTTATTTGAGATTGTTGATTGTATGTGGGTTTCATGGTTATAATGAAACCTCTTAATTATAATGAAACTAGGGCATTTTAGCACAATATTTGTTCGTCCAAATTAATTATATCAGCCATGTCATGTTGCAATTGTTTATTTGATAAGAAGCTTCACATTTGTTAGTTTCTTCCTTCCTTATTTAATTTGGACTAAATGCAACTCTGAACTGTGTGTTTGTTTGTCATCAATAAAGGATAATCGGCCTAACCTAAACCACTCCTTGTGATATTTTGTTGGAATATGATACAGAAAACCAAACGTACAATAAAGATACAAGTTATTATTAAGGTTTATATATAGCTTGTCAATAGCTGATGCATGCTATTGAGAAAATATGTTACTTATCGTGAAAGGATGAGTCCACTCGTGAAAAGTGGATCGACTAAGCTAGTAATATGATGTAGCATACTAAAATAGCTAGTAATATGGTGTAGCATACTAACATAGCTACAACTATGATCCTCCCACTAATTTTCACACTAAATCATGAAGAACTTTACCTTTTGTTTAGAAGAAAAGTTTACTAAGTGGTTGTTGGTGTCAAAATTCGGACGGAGTCAAGATTATGTTCAATAATATAACTTCGTGTATGCTAGCCTAAAAAGTAAATGAAAGAGAAATAGAAGCTAAAATGAGAAAATGTAATCATTTCATGGAGTCAAGATTACAAACGTTTACAAAAGTAAAATCTAGATTGACGGGTTGAGCTACATAACTTGAAATGTAAAGAAAGCAATAAAACTTTAGAAAGATTCAAGCCATGAAGAGTAAGATAATGCTAGAGGAGTCCACTGAGATCATTGGTATAAGATTGAACTTAGTACAAAATATGTGCCTCATAAAGGAAATCATGGTGGTTAGAATTGCACATCAATCAAATCATACCATTGGGTGTAAGAGCTGTGAAAGTTTTAGATCTTAGGAATCGTAGGCAGTGTTTACTTGGAAGGAAGACTTTGAGATTGTAGCTGAAAAGCAAAAAGAATTTTGTTGAAGAGCAATTGGGTTTGTGCTGAAAAGTAGTTGGGTTGATTAAAGAATCATTCAAGGTTTGTTTAATCGTAAAGATCGATTTTGACGAAGGTCATGAGCTTGAAGGCCTTTGGCTCTATTTAGGTGCTGATAGTGACTATAGTTTCTGTTAGGTGGCCTTCAATTGTGTCTTAAGGCGGTTAGCATGATCGCAGTAGTGACATTAGAATGTCGGATGATGCATGCGCAAGCATTTAAGGGCGCACTTTGGAGACAATCTTGTCGAGCCCTCAGACATGTTAGAATTAAATGAGATGATCGTCCCAGCCCCGATTGTGGACTTTGAAATTGGTGAACCAGAGTCGTATGACTTTTGCGTAAATAAAAATATATAAGCCCAATAATAGACATTATTTTTATTTATGGCCCATACATTGGCTTTCCAAAAACAAAAAAAACAAAAAAACAATCATGACAACTTATTGTTAGGAATTATCATTAAGTTAAGAAGAATTATCATTGGCTTCAAGAAGTGAAAAGAAGACTAATAATGATAACTAAAATTAGTAGCAACTATCATTAAGTGATGATATAGTGACCAATCATTAATATTTTTCACATAAGTTATTGACTGCATAAAAGAATTATGATCCTTTTCAGCTTTGTTATGCACTTTTCTGTGTTATTTTTCTCCTTTTTGTTCTGGTCATCATGCATGTAATGAGATTTTATATAGATGTACTATAATATAAACCATGATATTTCGTTTTCGTTTGGTAAGAGAATCAAAACGCAATAAAGTTGTATTACCTATCACATATTTTTTTATTGGTCAACATAAACTTCTTTAAGAAGAAATTGTTACAAGGGATGTAAGCTTATGAACAGACTTAACAGATTGGGATTGATTGGAACTGTACATGGTTTTGGCAAAATGGTACACAACCCCTGCAATCCACATTACGGATTATTTAGCGTGCTTTAGTGCGAGAGTTGAACGCAAGAGAGTAAATCAATGCTTTATTACTGAAGTTATAAGCTCGTTTTTGCTTGTGTATGGATTGACGGTCTTACCCGTCTTGGTCGTTACAAAGGTCGATGCTACCACATCGAGCATGTTGCCGGAGAAAAAAATCAATTTATTGCTTATGTAGCTTACCCCTTAGATCTTTTTTTAAGAATATTTTGTTACTAACATGTGTACTTCCATTGTAGGTAATGTGTTTGGGTAACCGATAATCGAATTCCTAATTAATTTAGTTTTCACCGAAGGAAAGAATTTGTAAACCTAACCAAGTGTCCCACCAAATCATCCTCCTGGAACTTCCTCCTCCTTATTGCATCCACCTTTTTTGTTCTCTTTAGTCACTAAAGAAGATGATCTCTATTTCACCACACGTTCTATAGTGAAATGAGTGATGGAACTAGAAGAAGATTGACGACTAGGACAATCTTCCTCCAGTGGTCGTTTCTGTTGGTGTTTAGAGAGGATAAATGAATATGTAGGAGTTTGTGTGAATTACACAAAACACTCCAATCAGCCCTAGGGTGATTACTAGGTCCTTTGGGTTCTTTTGTATTGTGTTTTTTAGGTAGCCTCTTTTGTATTTTAAGTCATCTTGGTGGCTTAATGCAAGTCCAATGTGTTCGGACACAATGGCCCATGGAACCCAAAACTATTTCTAAGCCCCTATTGAATGCCTAATCGTCAATAATTGATTAAATTACTCAATTAATTTAAACTCTTTGTTTAATTAATTTAATTAATTATTTTTATTGGATCTGTATTCATCTCAATATAATACGGGTATGCAACTCATTAGGTTCTAATTGGCTAGGTAATGAGTGATAAAACTACTATAATAATTTTAGTGAGCTCTAATTTAATTCTCCCTTCTATTGAGGACAATTTTGATTAGCCTTTGATGGTCCCACAAATCATGAATAGCAACTAATTGTATGACATGGTCACCCGAGCCAATATAGAATGCGTTAAAAAACCTATTGAGTTGGAATTGCAATAAAATACAGACATTCTCAAGTTCAATATTCTTAATAATGTTATATAAGGTATCGATAGTTCATGTCCTGCCACTACTATGTCTTGCTTAATCGATATTTCTTTCTCAGTCTTACTAATTCTGTGGAAGATTCCAGAATAATATTGTAGAGCAAGCCTATAGGTAGAGAAGCATGATCAAGCTGCATCATCAAATGGTCAATGATGTATTCATAGGACAATTGTATACTTTTTAAGTCTAAGGATTACTTACATTATTGTAGCTGTAGACTTTTTTGCTTGACATGTATATTGAACTTCATACATGAACTCTTGATTGATCGCGTTCAATGATCTCATTTTTTATTGAGTCCTTATACACTAAGTTCAATGTCCTCACATGAGTAGCTTGAGACCAACCATGCATCAGCCCAATTGCGCAAACACTTTTAGGGTGTACAACTAACATTATTCACTTTCATTAATTCTGAATCAGTTCTTATCAAATCCCTCCTTTGACATGTATACTTAGAACCAACTTAAAACGGAGTACGCAAAAGAGAAAAGTTAAGTATGTTCTTCCAAATAAAGCTGAAGTTAATTAACAATTGGTTGACATTGTTTGTTGAACTAATATAATTACATCATTTTCAAATCTTTAAGGGTTATTGTGAACACGGAAAATTCCTGAAACGAAAGAGACAAGAACAACGCGCACAAACAAATATTTGTATTTGATGATTTTGGGTTACAATCTCTCTCTATTTTGATCCTCTGATTCGATCTCCGTAAGGTGTTGATTTGTGGATGTTTCGTTGATCCAATGGTCGTTGAGGCTTGCTCTTGGATGAACTGTTGGAAGTTTCTTCAAGGGGCCGCGGGCTTGATCTTTGAAGGTGGATTTGAGTGGATCTTCAAGGAGCCGTTGGGGCTTGATGTTAAGGATGAGTGTTTCTTCAAGGGCCGTTAAGGCTTGATCTTGAATAACGGTAATGAACGGATCTTCAAGGGTTTTTGGGCTTAATCTTGAAGAACGGTTGGATGTGTGGATTTGTCGACGTTGTTGATCCAAAGGGCCGTTGGGGCTTGATCTTGGATGAACGGATGATGAACGATGGTGCTTTCTTCAAGGGCCGTCAGGGCTTGATCTTGAATTGATGGAAGTTTTTCAAGGGCCTTTGGGGCTTGATCTTGAATTGGTGGATGGTTGATCCAAGGGCCGTCGGGGCTTGATCTTGGAAGAACGATGAACGAGGAACGAAGAACACTTTCTTCAAGGGCCGTCGGGGCTTGATCTTGAATTGGTGGATGATTGTTGATCCAAAGGGCCGTTGGGGCTTGATCTTGGAAGAACGATGAACGAATAACACTTTCTTCAAGGGCCGTCGGGGCTTGATCTTGGAAGAACGATGAACGAAGAACGAAGAAGGCTTTCTTGATTCTTCGGGAACCTGGATGCTTGAGAGCTTCGGAGTTTCAGAGCTTCAGAGCTTCAAGGTGTAATATGAATTCCCCCTCAAATGAATGAAATGGGCTTGTATTTATAGAATTTTCCAAGGCCTAGTTTTGAATATAATATTCCAGATGAAATAAGTTGTTTCTGCCAGGTGTTGACACGTGTCCTATTTGACGACTTTTCCAACTCATTTCAATTTTCGTTGAGTTGCATGCTACGTGTAAAATTTATGTAATACATGAGCGTTGAAACTTTGATTTATCGGTCAACATTTATTTACCGAAATTTCGATGTCTACAAATGCCCCCACTTCAAGGCGCGTCGTATACATGTGCTTGTCACGTGTAAGAGATGCGTTTTGAAGTCCCTTACTGTAGATGTCGATCCAAGGGCCGTCGAGGCTTGATCTTGAATTGGGCTGGAGATTTCTTCAAGGGCCGTTTGAGGCTTGATCTTGAACTTTGTTTGAAATTTCTTCAAGGGCCGTCGAGGCTTGATCTTGAACTTTTGTTTGAAATTTCTTCAAGGGCCGTCGAGACTTGATCTTGAAGGTTGAAATTGGGCCACAAGGAGCTTCATGTGGTAGATGATCTTTGGCTTTGGTAGTGGATGAATCGGCACGTATTTTGTTGCGCTTGTTGACTTTCCACAGCTTTGATCTTGAACTGGGTTGGAGGATTTTCTGAATTCCTCCAATTGTTGATTTTCCACAGCTTATTCTTGAACTAGGTTTTGATTCAAGGGTGGTAGACACTTGATCTTGAATCGGACTTGTGATTTCTTCCAGGGCCGTCGAGGCTTGATTTTGAATTTGGCTGGAAGCTTCTTCAAGGGCCGTTGAGGCTTGATTCTTGAAGGTTGACTCGAACATATGGCAAGCAGGCACGCGGTGAAGGTGACGACTTGTTGCTTTGTTCAATCTTTCTAATTCACACCTGAATAGTTTGGTCAACGGTATGATCTTCAAGATTGATGGGTTCTTCTTCCAATTGGTGACTTGATCTTTAAGGATTTGATTTAAGGGTGGTGAATCGGCACGTGCAGCCCACAATGCCTAGTAAGTCGACCCAAGAATTTGAGGGTCAAAACAAGTTCACTGTCCTCAGGCAGATGCGACATCTTCTCGAGTTCTTCATCTCAGACTCTTTCTGCTGAGTTGACTGTGCATGCTGCATTCTTCTCTGCTTGTTTCTTCAGGCAGATATGGCAGCTTCTCGAGTTCCTCAGTTCGGACTCCTTCTGCTGAGTTGACCGTGGAGACCGCATTCTTCTCTGCTTGTTCCTTCTGCACCTTGTCTCCACATGCTGCAAGGTATCATTTTCACTTGCCTTATCTGTTCTTCAGGCAGATGTGGCAGCTTCTTTGAAAGTACAGCAGCAGTGGAAGGCGAGTACTCGAGAGCAGTGCTGCTAGGTAGGCAATCAGGGAAGGGTTCCAAGCAGTCGGTTCCTTACCCGAGTTTGAGTGGAAGTTCCGGGCATATTGTTTTCTTTATCCTTGTCTTCGTAGGTAAGAACAAGGACAAAGGAAAGGACAGGGAGAAACGCATGATATGAGATACTCTTGCTTTCTACCCTGGTGATATGAGATACTTTTGCTTTGGAGTTATTGGCTTGGCTTGCAGAGGTACCCCAAGGAATAAGGAACACTGGGTAACTCAAGAGGCTTCGTTGGGAAGGCATTCTCAGAGATGAAGAAAGGTTCTGTATGTCTGCCTTGCTATGGAGGGTGAAGATGGACAGTTATAGGAAGTTCTTTAACACCTGTAGATGTACTATTCTTTCACTCGTGTCGACAACCGTTGGATGATTGAACAGTATACTTCACGTGCTTTCTCCTTCACCGAAAATCTTCGACAAATTGCCCGTGATTTTTGCCAAGCTGAGTGTGCATGTGACAGGTGTTGACGCGGCTGAAAAAGGATTGCGCCTCTTCGATAACTGGGATCGGCGCTTCGACAAATTACCCGTGATTTCCGCAAAGCTGAGTTTGCGTGTGATGGGTGATGACGTGGTTGAAAAAGACTGGCGCCTCTTCGATATCTGGGATCGGTGCTTCGACAAATTGCCCGTGATTTTTTCGCAAAGCTGAGTTTGCGTGTGACGGGTGCCGACGCGTCTGGAAAAGCAAGAGATGCTTCTCCGATTTCTGAGCTTGCCTCTTCGATTTTTGAATGGCCTCTTCGAATTCTGAGCTCGCCTCTTCGATCTCTGAAATCCCATCGAGTGCTGATTTTTTTTATAGAGGCACGCTGTTCGTTCGTTTCAAAGCACACTTGAATTTTCGCTTGTGAAAACTCCCTTCTTGCACTTCTAAGATCTTGATTTGTCCGACCTCTTCTTTCTCTTCAACACCTTTTGAAAATGTCTGGACCCTCTGACCGTCGTTTTGATTTGAACCTTGATGAAGAGGTAGTCCCGTCTTCTCCAGATAACATATGGCGCCCATCCTTCATATCCCCTACTGGTCCTCTTACTGTTGGGGATTCGGTGATGAAGAATGATATGACTGCTGCGGTGGTGGCCCGGAACCTTGTCACTCCCAAAGATAACAGACTACTTTCCAGGCGGTCTGATGAGTTGGCTGTTAAGGAGTCTTTGGCTCTTAGTGTGCAGTGTGCGGGTTCTGTGTCCAACATGGCCCAACGCCTGTTTGCTCGAACCCGTCAAGTTGAATCGTTGGCGGCTGAAGTGATGAGTCTCAAACAGGATATTAGGGGGCTCAAGCATGAGAATAAACAGTTGCACAAGCTCGCACACAACTATGCCACAAACATGAAGAGGAAAATTGACCAGATGCAGGAATCTGATGGTCAGATTTTACTTGATCATCGGAGGTTTGTGGGTTTGTTCCAACAACATTTACCTTCGTCTTCTGGGGTTGTACCGCGTAGTGAAGCTCCGAATGATCAACCTTTGGCTCCTCTACTTCCTGGAGTTCCGCCGAGTGGTGAGGCTTCAAACAGTCAACCTCCAGCGCCTCTCATTTCTGGAGCTCTGCCGAGTGGTGAGGCGGCACCTGATCGTCCTTGAAGATCCCCTCTTGTAAATTTGATTTGATTTTTTTTTTTTTTTTTTTTTTTTTTTTTTTTTTTTTTTTTTTTTTTTTTTTAAGGTATGTATAATGCAAATTTATGCAAAATTTCCAGAAAAATAAATAAAAAATGAACTTTATTTCTCTCAATGCAAATTTTTTTTGCTATATATATATTATGTACACATGTCACCACACCTCTTTGCCGTCCACTATCCCCAAATTTTCCTTTATGTTTTATATATATATTTTTTTTCTTTTTCTGGTGCCTGATGCACCATACCCCCATTTTTTTTTTTTTTTTTTTTGTATTATTTTCTGCTTCTTTAGTTGGTGCCCATGCACCATTCCCTTTTTCCACGTGGTGCCAGATGCACCACCATCCTTTTTTTTTTTTTTTTTTTTTTTTTTTTTTTTTTTTTTTTTTTGTATAAATTTGGGTGGTGGGTAGAGGAATTTGCAGGGAGCGGACGAAGACGGACGGAGAGCTGGAGTTTGAGGAAGAGCTTCTCGGCCGGCTAGTCGTTTGACAGCGGTCTTTGAAGTTGGTGGCAGCTGCGAGGCAAGAGGCGGAGGAGATGGAGGTGCACGGAGGAGGTAGGTGTGGACAGACGGTGCCAATGCTTTGGAGCTGGGTTCTTTGCTGGGCTTAGGTGTTGCGCAACGGAGAGGGTGCCTAGATGATGTAGATGATGTACTGCATCACCACCGCTTGCACCATGAAGATCTCTCTGTTAAAAGCTTTGAGCAGACTCCACAAGACTGCAAATCTATGGAAGGAGAACATGAGAACCTGCAGCCATCAGAAGACCCACCTAGAGATCTAGTCGCCAAGTCATTGTTGCAAGTAGAGAGAGTCAGAGGTGGCGGAGACAGAGCCTGTCCTCCAATGCCGGCGACGAGAGAGCAGATGAGTGCCACGTTGAAGATGTTCTATCTCTGATGCTGCTGCTCTACCATGGTTCAGAACGACGACGAGGTCGTAAGTTTGGAGACGCAGGTTTGCACAGAGGAGGAGCGGAGGATAAGGGCTGACGTGAAGGTCCACTTGCTCTGGGTGTGCACACCATGTGCAGCAGGCCAGGTTTGGTGGAGTGAGGCAGCAGAGAGCGGCACAAAGACCGGTGAAGATGACGACGCGGAGAACAAGGATTGCTGAGTCTGGTTGCTCATGAAAAGCTGCGGGTTCAGAATCTGCGGCTTCTCGTCCGGGCTGCTCTCAAATTGCTGCTGCCGTTGTGCTGGTGGATAGAAGGAAATGAGCAGCTTGGAGTCGCAGGGAGACAGCTATGGTGCGATTTCGAGGTGCTCGAGTCGCTTGAGCGACGTGTCGTAGGGCGGAAGAGCGGTAGGTAAGCTTGGATGGTGTTTGTCGGTGGTGAAGCGGAGTCCTGGTTGTCGTCAGCAGACTTCATCTGTTGAACTTGGGGTGGGTTGACGACGGTCATTGGCATCACAACATTGTCCAAGAGGCGTCCCTTCATCTCCCTGTGCTCTTGGCACAAGGCGCACCAGTGCAAGCAGCAGTGTGTCAAGCATGGGTCACACGGCGAGTTCTGTAGATGATACTTCTTCTGCAAGGATTGCCGGACAAGACCTGTATATACCCCACACATCCACCAAGAAAATAACAGACCCTCGCAAATAAGAAATGAAGTCCTTGGGTCAATGTCATGGAAGATTGTAGTTAATGCTGCCAGAGCCATACCACCTTCAATACAAACGGCATGACAAATGCATGGTCTGTTCCAAGGGGTATCGTCTCTTAGGCTCTCAACATTGCGCCCAAACAGAACACATGGACAAAATAACCCTATCAAGCAACTTTCTCTATCTTCAGCACAGCCAAAAATTCCGGTTGTCCAAGGCTCATCTCCAGGGGGCTGATAGCTCTCGGGTAAAGGCTGTCCGCATTCATGACACCTGTGAACATTCAACTGGGGAACTTCGATGAGCTGATTGAGCTCGTCGGGCTTAATGTCCTCGGCCGGCGCTTGATCCTTTGTCAGCTTCACATACCGCGAGTGCGCAGTTCCGTCCGCCATCCGATCTGGTCTGGTCTCTCCTGCACCGCTTTCTCTCTGTTTGGTTGGTGGGGAATGCGGTGAAGGCGGTGGCGGCGGAACCGAAAGAGGCTGCTTTAAATCAACACTAAACTCTCTCTCCGGCGAGTTTGACAACGAAGACGATGAAGATGATGAAAGAGACTGCATTTTGGGATCCAAATGAATAGATGCTCGATCCGAAGCATTTGAAATTCTTGGCGAGGTAGCTGAGTTCTCCAAACCTCTCAGTGGTGACATAGAAGGTGAAAACGACTTGGCTTTGAATCAGAACCGTCTGATTCTCTCTCCGGTGACGATGAACAATGTGATAATGGGGAAGGGGACTGATCATTTCGATCCGGAAAGGCCGTAACTTTTGTTAACCCATCTGTGTTGTTTCCGAATTTTAATTCCGGTGAAGAAATAGGAGAACTCTGACCCGAAACCACCGAAACTTTCGATGATGCATGTGGGTTCTTCTCTAATCCTTTCTCCGGCGACGAAGATAACGAGGACATCGACGGAGACCCTCCATTTTGGTCCGATGCAGATGGGTATTCGTCAGCAGCTCTCTCCGGTGAAGATAGTGGAGTCAACGACGGAGACCGTACATTGATGTCCCCAAACGGCGTTGTATAACGCGTGGCTGAGGGCTCCGGCAGTGGCCTCCGAGGGCAGAACCCGATCTGCTGCTGCCGGGTAGTGAATGTGGGCTCAGATGTCGGGCACAAAGAACCCGAAACCCCCGCCCGAGCAGCCAGAGACCGGTTGAAGTTCCCAATTGTGGTCTTCTTCGCCGAAGGCGGCACCGGCGGCACGATTTTGCAGATTCCAAACTGGGAAGCCTCCTTCTCGATCTTGAAAATGTAGGCAATCGGATCTTGGAACTCAGCCCAGGTGGGGTGGTACTCCGGAGCTACAGATAGAGCGAGAGCAGCTGGTCCTGGGTCGGACCTTTTGACTCGGGCGCGATCAAGCTCAGCACCACGTGGATGGACAGCGGCGGGTACACGCGGCTTTGATTGTTTACCTTCGTTTTGATGCAGTTGCTTTGTCAGCCCCAACATGAAGTTGTTTTGGTTGATGATGCTTTCTCACAGCTCCATTTCTGATGTTCCTTTTACGGGCTTGTTGTCAATATGGGCCTGTGAAATGAAGGGAGGCCTGGGCTGTGATTCCCTTTGATGGGGACAAGGTTGGGGCGGCCCAATTTTTTTTTTTTTTTTTATGTTATTTTTTCTTTTTTTTTTTTTTCTTTTTTTTTTTGTAAATACATAAAACATACATCTCCTTTTTTTTTTTTTTTTTTTGGACAAACAAATATTGTAATAGCATTAAAACTTTTAATAAAATCTTTATTCCTTATTTTGGTGTGACTGAACTCAAATTTTGAATATTCGAGCTGCCTACGTACCCCTCCAAAGAAGAGATCAAGTCGTAACGTAGTTCAAATACATTTTTTCTTGGTATTTTCATTTTTGTGCCGTTTGCAGTTTTAACTCGTGCAGGCAAGGAGCGTTGGTGCCGTGTTGCAGTTTTAGCTCGTGCAGGCAAGGAGCGTTGGTGTCGCCTTTTATGCTCGTGCAGACCACGAGCGTTGGTGTTGCCTTTTATGCTCGTGCAGACCAGGAGCGTTGGTGTTGCCTTTTATGCTCGTGCAGACCAGGAGCTTTGTGCCATGCAGTTTAGACTCGTGCGGGCGAGGAGAATTTGTGAATTTTGTCAAGCAATCCGGGAGAGGCGTTCCTCACAATTTTCATAGCAAGGAGCTTTGACCGCGTTATTGAAGAAGTCTTCGGGCAAGAAGTCGCGCATCGTGATGGCAACAGACGATTTTTGTGTCGCAATTTCATCATCTTCAACACGTTCACGTTGCTTTGAAGGTTGACAAGAGCTGCTTTGCCCCCTTTCCGATTGGCGGACTTGTGGAGGAGACGTATGCTTCTTGTGCAATTTCTTAGGAGTGACTTGAGTCCATCCTTCAATTTTGCTTGTCTTGGAGGATGCCCCCAACGGTTGAGGTGAAAACTTTGAGTCGGAAGAGCCAGAAGTGAAGGTGGTATAGTTTGACTTCGCCACTTCGTCAAGATCTAGCTCGATGATTCCTTTCTGAGCCAGCTTCATGATGAGATCTTTCAGCACGAAACATTTTTCTGTCGGATGATGACTGATGAAGCGGTGGAATTTACAGTATCTTGGACTGTCGGTACGATTCATCTCTTCCGGCCGTCTGCACTCAGGCAAACTGATCACCTTCTTGTCCAACAGGTCATCTAGCATGGCAACCACATCAGAGTCGGGGAATGGATAAGTCTTCTCCTCAAGCTCCTTCAAAGTGCGTCTACGCATCTCTTGATCACGAAAAGCTTCGGTTTGAATCGCCTTGCCTCGTGTGGATATTTTGACGGGAGCTGTGTTGACCGCCATCGCTTCCTTGGTGGGTTTCCATGCAGCCTTTTCCCCCTTTGTCCCAAGAACTTTGTCGTTCTTGTAGTCGGCGATCGGTTCTTTCTTCCCATGATGGGCGATGCTCAACTCCATGTCATGGGCGCGAGTAGCCAATTCCTCGAAGGTCCGCGGTTTTAATGCCTTGAAGGATGTATTGCAAACCCCATTGCATGCCTTGAATACACATCTCGATTGAAGAAATCTCGGAGAGTCTGTCCTTACAGTCGAGGCTTAGATTACGCCATCGGTTGATGTAGTCCATGACTGGTTCTTCCTTCCATTGCTTCGTGCTCGTCAGCTCTAGCATGCTCACAGTGCGGCGGGTGCTATAGAAGCGGTTGAGGAATTCCCGCTCTAATTGCTCCCAGCTGTTGATGGACTCGGGCTCTAGGTCCGTGTACCACTCAAAGGCATTTCCTTTCAGAGAGCGCACAAACTGCTTGGCGAGGTAGTCTCCCTCCGTCCCCGCGTTGTTGCAAGTTTCAACGAAGTGGGCAACGTGCTGTTTCGGGTTTCCCTTTCCATCAAATTGCATGAACTTTGGTGGTTGATAACCCCTCGGCATCCTTAAGGCGTCGATCTTCTTTGAATACGGCTTTGAGTACAACCCGGAGGTATTTGAGCTCCCTTCGTACTGTGCCTTGATGGTGTTGGTGATCATCTCTTGCAGCTGCTGGATAGAAAGAGATCCCATGAGTGCCGCTGCTTGGTCTGGCTCCGGCTTCGCATCGTTTTTCTCCACCTGAGGCTCATCTTCTGGGTTAGGGTTCTCGTCGTCCTGTGGCTCCAGTCGGCTGACGAGTGCAGCGATTTGCAAGTCTTTTTCTTCCACAGTTCGGGTTAGCCTTGCGATTGCTTCATTCATCTGAGCCAGTTGTTCTTCAACGGAGGTAACGCCGATAGTCATGACTTGTGCGACCAATAGACGTGACTTTCCTTTAGACATCCAGGATGCTGATGAAGAATGTCGTTGGCTGCTTTGGGATGTCATCTTATGTGCCTCAGCATCATGATTCGGTGCCTCCAGCGAGGTCAGGTTGATGACAGACTCACACCTTGGATGCTCCCCTTGCTCTTTTTAGCGGCACCAATTTTGAAGTGGCATGTTGAGGAGCGGTCGTGGCGCCAATGGATTGTCCGTTTGCGGCAGAAGTGCTTAGGATCCTTCCCTCAGTGGTTGCAAGAACGGCTTGTCCCTTGCTTGATGCCATTGACTTTGAGGTGTGCTTGGAACGGAGAAAGAGATGAGAGGTAGAGATTGTCCCACTGGGCGTGCCAATTTGTGAACACGGAAAATTCCTGAAACGAAAGAGACAAGAACAACGCGCACAAACAAATATTTGTATTTGATGATTTTGGGTTACAATCTCTCTCTCTATTTTGATCCTCTGATTCGATCTCCGTAAGGTGTTGATTTGTGGATGTTTCGTTGATCCAATGGTCGTTGAGGCTTGCTCTTGTTGATGAACTGTGGTGAAGTTTCTTCAAGGGGCCGCGGGCTTGATCTTTGAAGGTTGGATTTGAGTGGATCTTCAAGGAGCCGTTGGGGCTTGATGTTAAGGATGAGTGTTTCTTCAAGGGCCGTTAAGGCTTGATCTTGAATAATAATGGTAACGGATCTTCAAGGGTTTTTGGGCTTAATCTTGAAGAACGTTGGATGTGTGGATTTGTTGACGTTGTTGATCCAAAGGGCCGTTGGGGCTTGATCTTGGATGAACGGATGATGAACGATTGGTGCTTTCTTCAAGGGCCGTCAGGGCTTGATCTTGAATTGATGGAAGTTTTTCAAGGGCCTTTGGGGCTTGATCTTGAATTGGTGGTGGTTGATCCAAGGGCGATGATGATCGGGAGGGCTCGTCGGGCTTGATCTTGGAAGAACGATGAACGAGGAACGAAGAACACTTTCTTCAAGGGCCGTCGGGGCTTTGATCTTGAATTGGTGGATGATTGTTGATCCAAAGGGCCGTTGGGGCTTGATCTTGGAAGAACTGAACGAATAACACTTTCTTCAAGGGCCGTCGGGGCTTGATCTTGGAAAGAACGATGAACGAAGAACGAAGAAGGCTTTCTTGATTCTTCGGGAACCTGGATGCTTGAGAGCTTCGGAGTTTCAGAGCTTCAGAGCTTCAAGGTGTAATATGAATTCCCCCTCAAATGAATGAAATGGGCTTGTATTTATAGAATTTTCCAAGGCCTAGTTTTGAATATAATATTCCAGATGAAATAAGTTGTTTCTGCCAGGTGTTGACACGTGTCCTATTTGACGACTTTTCCAACTCATTTCAATTTTCGTTGAGTTGCATGCTACGTGTAAAATTTATGTAATACATGAGCGTTGAAACTTTGATTTATCGGTCAACATTTATTTACCGAAATTTCGATGTCTACAGTTATATTATTAACTACATTACAAAAGATGACAAATTGGTACAAAAGACGATGATAGAAAGAAAAACAAGAGAGAGATATTGAAGAGGCAGGTGAAAGCTCTTGAATTGATTGATATTATCTGAGGCAATAGTTTTTGCTAACTATATATACATAACTCCAACACACTTAGTATCTACACTATGGGGATGGCTGAGTGGGTTAAGCATTATAATGGATTTGCTATAATAATGTGATTCAACTTCGCATTTGGCGAGAATAGACCTAAGACCTCTCACTTACAAGTGAAGATAAATATCACTCGACCGTAGTATTAAGTGACACACAATTAACAACTTAACAAACTTCTAACAAAGCTAACAACTCAATACATCAAATGATATCATCTGTC